GAAATTTAGTGAATTTAATAAGTTAAATGAAGTATAACTTCACTAATGCTCTCCGTGGCCATTTCATTTGTCGTCGAGAATCCAATCCGATTACACGACATTAAAAAATTTCAAAAAAAAGGGAAAATTCCAAAGGTGGAGTTGAGATGGGAAATTACTGTCCAAGTGAATCAATGTCACGATAGCTCAAGTGGTAGAGCAGCAGCGTATTTAGCCGAAGGTCGTGGGTTCGAATCCCGCTCGTGACGCTGACTTTTTTTATCCTAATTAAAAACCTTAATTAATTGAAAGATATTAATTGATTAAGCGGACCACGAAAACTAGTGAATACATATCAACCTTGTGTGTTGTGTGTTTGAGTGTTTAATTACTGATTACTGATTTATATAAGCGCATACATACCAGGTGTAATAATAATAAAGTAGGAAGTTTATGGGCCGACAAACAGCTGAGGTCATCGCCGGCCCTCTGCGTGTTTTCCTTCTTTTACTCTTCTTTCGCGATTTTGTTTTAAACTGCAGCCATTTCAGCGTCGCGATCTGGTTACTGACTCTCTGATTTCAAATATATACTACGTTGATTTTCTAGAATTGTAGTCTCTCGTTGGTACCTCAATTTGTCAAATACAGAATAGAAAAAATGTACGTAGAAAGAAAACATACAATACATCACCACAAACATTGATATCTGGTCACATTCACTCTCCCAGAATACTCGATATTCCTAGTGACGGGGTTATAAGCAACCCCTTCCTTTCACGCTAATAAATTACTTTTACTCTCCAGACGACACATACTCACCCCAGAGTACTCGATATTCTTCGGGGCAGGGTTATAAGCAACCCCTTCCTTTCACGCTAATAAATTACTTTTACTCTCCAGACGACATACACTCACCCCAGAGTACTCGATATACCTCGGGGCGGGGTTATAAGCAACCCCTTCCTTTCATGCTAATAAATTAAATTCATTCCAACAAATTAACATAACATAAACAGAGACACAACACCAACACACATACCAGTTGTAGTTGAGAATATCATTTCTTAAAGCTTGCCGGCAATTCCAGCTTTTGCATAATTTACTGTAGGTTTCCGCCATTGTTCGGGAATTGCCAACATCAGGGCTGGCAGTCTCGGATCAGACCTCGGATTTATCCGTCTAGGCATCTAAGTTGGGCTTTAGGGGCTATCGATTCAGACATTTCAGCCCCCAATGTAATCAATTTCTCAATCCAAATCTATTCACACTCTCACTCACTCTTGAATACATTTTTTAAATTTACATACGCTCAGTTAGGGTGGTGTAGTATTCGATATTCCTCCATCAATCTTTACACCTATTACGAACTATCCTAATTGAGAATCGACTCGATATTCCTCCAGAGATCCTCTCACCATATACATTCACGCTGTTAAATACATTCAATCACAATACACACCAGAGGGCATACACTATCAATATTATATACAGTAAAACAGTACTGTTTCCTCCAAAAGTCAGAACAGATGTCCCGAATACTCAAGGACATTTCTCATATCGAGTGCTCTTCCTACGCGCTCTCTATATAGACCCCCCATCAATTATGTGGTAGTTTGAGCGAGTGTATTTCAAATAATTATCTCTTTTGTAATTATTGCAGGCCAGTGTGTTTTTACGTCTGAGTTATTTTATTTAATATTTTTTGTATTTTGTTAATGTCAGTGGTGATAATTGAAGAAAAGTTCAACACAAATAAATTAATAAATTTGCCATAATGTAAGGAAATTATGAACTTTGAATTCATTTATTTACCACTTAAAACTCACTAACACAAATTAACGCCCAGAGGCTCTTTCGTGTTAAGAGCACGACCTGCAGATGACCCCCCCATGGCCTGAACCGGAAACAAGAAATAGTACTTGCCAGATTAAGATTAGGTCATATGCCATACATTCAATCCACGCACAGGTGCCCCCTGTGCAGATAAAGGTTGCTTGATGTGTCCCACATAATTGAAGCGTCTCATGCCTTGGCTCCCTATAGGATGCGATTGGGCATGCCGCTAGATTAAAATGTGTTCTCAGACACATGAGCGATGTACAGGGTCTCCGGTTCCGCTTTTTAAGGTAATTGAGAATTTTGATAGCCGGCAAAATATGTGCTATGTGGTTCTGGGTTTTGTGTGAGTGAGTGTATTTATTAGGGGAATGAGAAGGGGCTGATCGTGAAACAGTATCCCTCGCCCCTCGAGCGTGGATTGGGTGGAAGGCGGAATATTTATAAAAGTACCTCATCGACCCCAATTAGATTAGTTTGTTATTGTGTGCAAAGAGTGAGGAATATTGACTACTCCATATACTAAACAGAATGAGAGGCACATAGGTGTGAATGCATTTATTAGTGTGAACGCGTGATGAATATGTGTTGTTATATTTTTCATGCGCTCGGGGTTGGAATGACCAAGCTGTCGGATGCCCCTGGTTAAAAACTTGTTAGATATTAATGTAATGTCTAATTATTGTACACTAATTTAGACAAGGACATCCGGGCTGCCATGGTTGCTGTAGATCCAAAAACAATTGGAAGTAAACTACTGACCACTTGAAATAACCAATAATTCACTCCAAATATAATAAAATGTAAGGGTCGACGATCCAAAAACTGTCTGATAAAGAAACAATATTTTAAAAAAATTAAATAAATAAAATTAAGGCCAAAAAAATGAATTAATCTACCAAAAGTTACGACAAGCGTAGATAATGCCTTCGTACGCCCCGTTTGCTTGACTGTACAAAAGAGTCTTGACTTTACATAAATCACACAGACCCAACATTGAAAATGGCGAATTGCCGAAAAACGTCTGAAGACCACAGCAAAGATAGGCAGACCAAAAATACCGGTCAAACTGTATAAAAATCTATTCTGTTGATTATAAAAAAATAATTGAAACCTTTTTATTAATATGGTATAATTTCGTCAAGTGAAGTGTAAATCATTTTTTTAAATTTTATGTTTATTTTTGTAAATAAAATTCCTTCCGGTAAGAACATAAAAAGCCTCTCTCTTCACTCGGGTGCTTGGAAAGTGAAACCGGGAGAAGGGTCCATTTAACTGTAAGAATTGAGAAAGAACGAATTTGCATATCGAAGTGGCCTAAAGAACCAGGAGGTTTAACAAAGCAAGCGCCATCTTATGAAAGACCGGTCGACATTCCGTTCTTCCTTAACGATTCGAACATTTCTCAACTAATTTGAAATAATATAAATGACAAAGTAAAACTTTGAATTTGAACTTTATTGTTTTTTTGATCTTTATATATTAGTTATTTAGAAATCGTGAGATGCGGTCTGGTGTGATGTAGGTTTCAGAAAAACATTTTCTTTATCGTGCCAATGTTTCGATCTTTATTGAGATCATCTTCAGGGCTCAANCTTCTTCAACTGATGATGAACTAAAAGCTCGAAATCCGGATTTTTGCCAAACTACTTACTGCGAGTAAGTACTATCTTTTTAAAAAAGATAATCAGCCACCGTTGTCACTCTCATTTTTTTAAGGCGGTATATGATTGTATGTCCTGTAAATACTTACAGTTTTGAATTATTTTCTGTTGTAGGATTTCCTCTTTTTCCCTTTGAGTTGTTTTTGTGAGTAGGCTTTTTCCTTGCCTCTTGCTTGGTTTTGGTCCTTAAATTTGTCGCGTTCTTTAGTTACCCAAGAATCCAGTTATTTGTTAATGTGCCATAGTTCGTGCCACAAAATGGATTTGCGCCTATGAATTATTCTGAGGCTCGTATTTTAACAAATGTATCTGCTGTCTCCTCGTCTGTAATTCTCTCATAAAATGGGAACAATTTTAACGTTAGACTATTTATCCCTGTTTTATCAGGTTATTTAGGCAATTCCATGAAAAGTTTTGAAATGAACTGCCTGGATGTTTGAAATAATTATTATTTTGGCAACATAGAGATGTTTATTATCTATTTCACGTGCACATGTTTCTACGGCTAGCAATTCGGATAAAAGGATGGTTGTGATGGGGCAGAGGGCCATTTGGTGTTCAATGTTAGGCCCTTTATGCCAATACCAGGACCATTTCCCATCTTTGAGCCGTCCTTCCGTATTGAAGAGCCTCAGGTTTATCTCCTTTTGCTTTATTTTTCCAATCAGCCCTTTTGTCAACAATTTTTTTGTGAATGGGTTTTCTATGTCTCGTATTTTCTAGGATAAGTCAGAAATGGTGTTAGCCATGTCGGTTAGTTTAACTTTGTCGTATATTTTGCTATGGTTAGCATTTTCTTTCCACTGTCCAATTTCTTTATTACTTAGGGCTTAACACTATTAATATTTTCTAAAACGTACATCATAATTAACTTTTATTAATTTTTTGCGTTTGAAACGAGTTATCTATAGCTAGATGATTTGAATATTAATCAAAATAATATTTATGTTTATAGAAACGCCACTTATTTTTCGTTTATAAAGTTTTGTTACAAATGTGTATTTAGGAAGTCAAGAATCAAAAGTTTCTATGCCGTGGCAGCTGTTGCTACACGAGAAGTTTATATTTATAATTTACAGTTTTGTTTCGTTTGTAGTTGTTTTCTTTTAACATCATACGTTACTATGTAAGTTTAAAGTCGTGGATATGATTTATGAGCCTTACCTACATTCATGACGTCAAAGTTTTGAATATTTAATTAATACCTGTGATATCATAAGAGAGTACTTTCATACCAGTGGAACAGCGGTATAAATAATTGATTTTGGGATTAATTAACATTAATTGAAACTTGTATCCTATGCACTCGGGATTGCCGAGCAACGGCTTTTTGTAATTAAATAAGCCAAGGGAATGTTTGAAATGCTGATTTTTGACTTAGCAAATTCGCTTCGTTCTAATTTTAACGTAATTAAAAATGATTAACAAAAACAAGAAAAAATTCGTCCGTTTAGACGTTGCGCATTCACAAAATAGAACTAAGGTTGTAGTAAATGAATTTGCTTTTATTTTTAGTTACCGTTCTGCTTTCGTCCATGTGGGCATGGGCCTGAATTGCACGGCCGCGTCTCCCTCCTTTCGACGCAGGTGTCGTCTAGACAGGATGCCGTCCTGTGTTGGACTCCCAAGCCGCAGGACGGAGTGCACTCGCTCCAGTCCGACCAGTCGAAACCTGAAGAAAAAATGGTGATTATCGTATTCGACGAAGGGATATTGTCGGTCTTACCGTCGTCGGAAGAAAGGCCACTGCCCTCGAGGTCTTCGTCGTCCGACACAACTATCCTGTTGCTTCTAGGAGGCTGAACAGGAGGCAACCATGTTTTTGGATATCTGAAAAAAAAACAAAAAAAAAAACAGTTTTCATTATTGATCTGGAAAATACAAATGATTAATGCGGCAAGGGCAAAAACAACTCTTTGGGTCTGTCAGGTAATAAACTTAAAATTACAATACCGTTACAGTCCTTGGCTGAGTCGATCTTAAATATAAATTTAAGATTGCCTGTAAAAAATTTAAATATGTCAATCTGTAGACATATTTAAGGTTGTTTTGTAATTATTCTTTCTATGTAAGGTCTTGGTTGAGATAAAAAAGTCAGTGTTACGAGCGGGATTCGAACCCACGACCTTCGGCTAAATACGCCGCTGCTCTACCACTTGAGTTACCGTGACTTCGGTCCTCTCGGAGACCAACTCTCAATCTCAACCTACAACCATTCAAATTTTCTCTCTTTTTTTGTCATTTTCAATTGTCGTGTAATCATGATTCGATTCTCAGCGACTTATGAAGTGGCAACGGGGAGCTGTTTAGTGAAGTGATACTTGTTTTACTTGTTAAATATTAATCCATTTACGGTTTAGTGGTCAATTGACCAAATTACTTCTTTCGATTAACTATTCTTTACATGTAAGGTCTTGGTTGAGATAAAAAAGTCAGTGTTACGAGTGTTGTAAATGGCAAAAAGAGGGAAAATTCGAACGGTTGTAGGTTGAGATGGAGAGTTGGTGTCCGAGTGGTTCGAAGTCACGATAGATCAAGTGGTAGAGCAGCGGCGTATTTAACCCAAGGTCGTGAGTTCGAATCCCGCTCGTGACACTGACTTTTTATCTCAACCAAGACCTTACATGTAAAGTATTAAAAAGAGAAACTTGGTAAATTGACCACTAAAATGTAAGTTAATTGTTTTGTAAGTTTTAAACAAGGTGTTACAGGTTAAATGTCAATACTGCCATTCTTGATTCACTAATGAAACGTAATTCAGTGCCTCTAGAAGTTTCATTTTGCCTCTTTCCGGAAATATTTACATTTTATAGAAATGATAAATGGTGGAGTCAGTGTGCTGAATGTTTAGTTTAATCGTTTTAAAAAGATATTAACAGTTTTGTGATTTTAATGTAAAATCAGATTTTTAACAAAAAAAAAGTAATTTCTCAACTTTAGTGTCATTAAAATACAAATCTGACCTTTATTTCATAAACTAATTTAAATTTTTCACAAGATAACAACGAATATTTGCGCCTCCGAATACACAGTGGCCGTCCAAAGAATAATGCCAAAACTCATGTGTTTTTTTGGAAATATTCATACGTGGCCCATGTGACTTTTTATCAAATTTTTTTGGATTTCACCAAAGTTGCCGTATTTTATAAGTATTTCAAGGAAATACCCACTTTTACATTTTATAGAAATTGTTTTGTGAAATCGCGTTTCTCTTTTAGAGGAAGGTTGAAAAACATGATAACAAACCCAAGGAGAGCTGCAACCCAAGAACATTTTTAATAAAAAACATTTATAAGTTGGTAACAAAAATTAGATACATTCTATTTTATTTTTGGTTGTTATGTAAAGAAATCTTATTTTAGACTAAAATCACAAAAATACTAATATCTCAGGAATGAGTCAAGGTAGAAAACCCGTGCTGGTGGCACTGAATCATCATCACTTTGGTGAATTATTGACATTTAACCCTTTATCACCCTGTATAGTTATATCGATTGTTAAATCAATTTTATGAATATGTTTTTCATAATGATAAATTAATATAGGCTCTGATGATGTCGTTAAAATAAGTCGAAAGCTTGGCAGTAGCAACTGATTTGATTTTTTCTTCAAGACCGTACCTTGGTACAGACTTTTCGTGAGGTAATAAACGCACAATTTGGTCGTTTCCGATGATTTGGACCTCGCTATCTTTGCTATTTGTTTATCGCCATATTGACAATTGACATTGGTCACCGATCACACACCAGAATAGCAAAGAAAAAAAAAGCCAAAATGATCGGAAACCACCAAAATACTAAAATTCCTCTGTGGTGCTTAAAATAAGTCTAAGTACAACAAAACTAAATAGACATTGATTTGGAAATAACCTTTAGACCGTCTTTCCGAGATATACATACAAGACGGCTAATATACAAATAATTTCAATTTATGATTCTATGAAAAATTTAAAACAAATGGATATTATCCCTAATCAGTGATCAATTTTCGGAGTTAAAATTATGTATTAAAAAACAATCCAGGAAAATGTCATTCTGGTATTGGCTTCAACACTGATCGTTTTTTAATATAAAATAAATGGATTTTTCATTATCATCAATTAACGTATTTCTGTACAAACGGATATATTAAAACAGGAAAAAATTAATTGATTTATTTTTATTAAGTGGAGCGATGAAATTCCTATTCTCTGAGATAGTTTTTTTAAATTATTTCAAAATGTAATAATTAAGGATTGGCCAATCAGGTGAGTGTCCTCCTCTCGACTCTTTCCTTTCAGATCATTCCCAAGTACTCTCCGTCCCAAATAAGCTACAATACTCTTTCCTATCCATCGGTTCTAGAGTACCTCAAGGTCCTCCAGGTTTTCCTTTTTTGCTGTTACAGTAAAGACTTTTATAAATTCGTAAAATGTTGCTCCCATCCTCATGTCACAACATTGTGCAATGTTTATTTGGAGATCGTGAGATGTGGTCTGGTGTAACGTAGGTATTAGAAAAACATTTTCTACAGACGTTTCGATCTTTATTGTCATCATCTTCAGGGCCTGGGATGTCCACACATCAAACATTTTTACATAGTCTAATTCTCCAATAATTTGTCTTTCCTTTCACTAATTAACCCCGTCTATATTACCCTGAAACGATAATCAGGCCGAACCATTACCCATTTTTTCCCATTGTAGGCTCCTTTCACCTCAAAGAAGGCGACTCCTCATATAAAAATGAATTTCTATCCCGACTTCCTACCCTATTCCTTCAAAATCCCACGTATATAAACAAAATTCATTTTTTCACATCTTATATGTATTTGTATAAATTAAACAATGTTTATAAATCCCAGGCCCTGAATATGATCTCAATCGAGGTCGAAACGTTGGCACGATAAAGAAAATGTTTTTCTAAACCCACATCCCATCAGACCACATCTCACAATCTCCAAATAATCATTAATTAACGGTCACTAAACACCACACGTTACAATCTTTATTGAGATCATCTTCAGGGCCTGGGATTTATAAACATTGTTTAAATTACATAAATACATGTAAGATGTGAAAAAAATGAATTTATGCAATGATGGAAATTTTAGACACAACTCAGTGTTTGTTTTCTGTGTAGATGTGTCATTATGGTGTGTGACGAAGTGGTTCACGGTCACTAATCACTACACATTGTGGAATGTATTTCCGTTGTCGAATATCAAGCCTTTGCGGTGGTCAACTTAGGACAATTTAACTTAACAGCTCTCTGTGAATTTATTACTTTATATAGGACATGTTCCATTTGCTTATTTTCTTTTCACCTTGTGCGAAATGCAAAGATTTAGTCAGCCGAAATCTTTGCAAGTATGACCCGAAATGGCCCGTTCAGGAACTAGAAAAACTAAAAATTGGTTTTAAATAACAATGAAGATATTCGCTCTTTTGCCGTACTGAAGAATCCATTTTTTCATAAAAGTTTTGAATTTCCACTTCTTCCATGATAATTTAAACGTCGTTTTGTTACGACCATTTATCTCTGACTGCTGATCTGCTTTTCTGTCTAATGGTGTCGATGATTGTGGTCTTTGTCTATGGGAAGAAAGACATCTTTTGATATTGTGCACTACACTTTGGTATACAAAAACAGATAGTAGTAATAAGTTACTTTACATGTATAGTCCTTTCTGTAAAAGTCGTTGACTAATACCAGCGTAGTAATTGTAACTTCGTGAGTTTAATATTAATATTATTTGGTATACATTTATTTGATAATGTTGTTGATTTTAAAATTTATTTTTATAGTTTCTGACGAGAGGAAAAGTTATTTATCAAAACTTGTCAAAAATATATGCATTGACAAATGTAAGTTTCCTCATTATTACTTTAAACTTGAAATAATAGAAATTTCAACGCCAGAAACGACAACAATTAACGTTTTGTTCGTATTTATTATTTTCGCTTTGAGTTTGACTTTGGGTTTGTCTTCGTGGTACTTTCAGGAGGAGTTTGGCATTTGTTTGGCGATAGTTTTAATGCTTTTTCTTTGCACCATTCCCTTACTTCCTTTACTGCCGCTTTACCTTACAACTCTTTTTATGTTTTCCCATGGGACAGTAGCAACTAGATTGTCTACAAACCCCACGCATTTTTTTTATATTGTAGCTCAAGTGGTTTTAAAACACAAAAAAGCAGATAATTAGAAAAATACTGTCATTAAATTTAGACAATGTGACAATTTCCGAAAAACGAATAGTTAGTTAAAGGTTGATATCCGATCTTTCTATAGGTAGGATGATATGTATATATTGTTTATTTGGCTATTGTGAGATGAGGTCTGGTATGACGGAGGTTTAGAAAAATATTTTCTTTCTCCACTACTGATACGCCGCTGCTCTACCACTTGAGCAAACGTGCCCTCGATCCACTCGGACCCCAACCTCCCGTCTCAACCACACCTTTTTGAATTTTCCCTCCTTTTTGCCATATTTCAAATGTCGTGTAATCAATTTGATTCTCGGTTACAAATGAAATGGCCATGGATGGATGGGACGTTGGTGTCCGAGTGGATCGAGGTCACGATAGCTCAAGTGGTAGAGCAGCGGCGTATCAAGCCGAAGATTGTGGGTTCGAATCCCTCTCGTGCCATTGACTTTTTATCTCAACTGAAAACCTTAATTAATTATCAGATTTTTATATGAGGTGAAAGGAGCCTATAATGGGAAAGAATGGGTAATGGTTCGGCCTGATTACTTTTTCAGGATTATACAGACGGGGATTTTTAGTGAAAGGAAAGCCAAATTGTTGAAAAANTCCTTTCATTTCGTTTCAGATTCTCATGAGGCCATCG